CGGAAGTGGGAAAGAAAGTGTCGTATTCGTTTCTTTGAAGGGCAGGGATTGCATTCAGGGAGGAACAGGAAATTTTCATGACTTGATTTTTATCCAAAGTAGACTAAAACAGTAGAGATTCGTGGAAAAATTCACATGTTTACCCAGCCGGGAACAAAACGCCCGTTACTCCGAATAAAATTCATTCTACTGTCTCAACTAAGCTGGAGAACTTGAAAATTGTGAAGGTGTGTCGACAGCTGCTAGAATCCATGTTACAAGTCTATCCATACGATCCAGGAGCTAAAACCCCAATTTTTAGGGGAAGCTAAGCCATCGGAACTCCTTCGCTGCACCCGGACAGTACCCTGCCATCTTGTCCGCCGTTATGTTCACTATTACCTCTCAGCACTTGTTCTCCATTAACCGAAGCCGCACAAGCAACCAGAAACTCAAAAAAGGGAATCATCTTCGGCCGGCCCATGGGAAATAGCCATAGTAGTGAGTCTTTTGAGGACAATTCCTTTCTTCCGACTCGATCCCGATTCTGAAAGCCGGCTTCGTAAGAGAGGTCGTATGGCGAGAATTCAGGGTATCAAATTAAGGGAAGAGTCGTTTGTCCCGACGCTAAATTTCACCCTGGCGCCAACAACCATACTTTGTTTTGCGTCAATCACCATTTAACATTTAATGCTTGCATTTGAACTCGAACCTGTCTCCCATATAAGATGCCGAGGCTTTTCAATGCATTAATTGTCATTAAAACAATGTTACGAATCCCCCTACGTGCTCTCAAGGTGTGGGGAGGGGGACGTTCAGGAAACGGTGAAGCTGTAGGTGAGCGCAAGGATTTTGTCGGAGAATTCCCGAAGGGCAAGAGGAAGACACTCCCAATCAAGGCCTATCCATTCCATAACAGTCAGCAACCAGAGAACATCAGTGACCACCTTGCAACACCGGCTGGGAACAAAAAATTCGCCATATATTCCAAATTCTGGGGACATCAACTTCGAACGTCTTCAAGATGAAGGCTCAGATTAACTGCTCCCATCTAACAGCTTCTTCTGAACCACGGGGACCTTCTCTGAACCTCAAGGACAGCCTCACCCAGAGAAAAAACAAGTGAAATCTGCACTCAAAACCCTTTGGCAACTTTCCAATGTTGTTTTTATGTAGATGTGGGTGTAAAGTGAAACACCTTAGGGCAGGTAAGATGGGCAGCGATAATAACATTTTAGATCGGGTAGCGATAAAGCGTAATCTTTCAAAATAATCCCATCCAGCCCGGATTTGGGACCTAATCACGAAGCTCTCAATGAAGAGGGTGGAAGCCACATAATGAAAGAAAGTCTTCCCAGAGAAACCATCCCTTGGAAAAACAACAACCTCCAGGTAGGTGATCGTTGAAAAAATCTCTCCTGTTTGCTTTATCGTTGAATTTGTTGTTGTTCCATTTGACAATACTTTTTTGGTTGTATAATTATTCTAATTAAATAGCACCTATAATGGGGGAGACAATGTAAACGTCCACCGACGGAGGCAAGGCTATAGCTTGCAATGGCAGCCCATCATCAGACCCTGTCCCGTCAACATATCTAGCCTTCATTCCGGGTTTATTGAATTGGCTCGGGCCAGTCTTGTCTGATGGATTTGGAAGGCAAGCTGAAGCTTGGACTCTTCCCAAATTTCCCAAGACAACTCCTCAGTGATCGCTAAGGATTATTACCCACAGAAATAAAGGATTACAGATAGGGTTTCTGTCATTGGAGCCTCTACGGGATGACCATGTAATCGATTCCTTTAAGATCCTATAGAACGTTTGGGTGGGTGCTTAGACGACAGGGACTCTTCCTAGAGGCAAGCTGCTCTTTCCCTTTCCCCATATGCCGTATAAAGCTGTCCCAGTCGTCTTCTGGGAACAACCAAATCTTGGGAAAACCACGAAGTGGATAGAGTTCAGTCTGAGGACCGTGGCGACGGCGATCAGCTATCGCCATAAAAACAACCCTATGTGTGCTTTGATGGGGATTCCCCTTCCACGGAAGCTACGATCACACCGTTCGTCGTATAGGCTGCGGCAGTGGCGGGGGATAATACAGTTCGTAGCTGGTTTCGCCTTGCCCAATGGCCAATTTAAGGCCCCCTGCCAACTGCCAATTATTTCAACGATTTCTACGATTGCCTCTAGCTCCAGATGGATACAAAAAAGCCCTGAATCAGACGTTCGGTCTGGTGCCCAGTTCCAAACTGGTGTTCATGAATCTTCAACGCCCAATGGGAATCATTCTCTCCCTAATTCACGTGCACCTCTTCTAATTGACAGTAGATCCCTCGTGAAAAAAATTTCACAAGCTTTTTTGTTCCCGATTTTCTTCTGGTAAAGTTCAGTAGGCTTCATTGGAGGCCACCTTCTCAAATGACCCCAACAGGCTAACATTTTTTAAACTCAGAACCACTTTCTTTCTTCAATTTCTACAGCAGTTTATAGAAAAGAATTGAAAGTTGACGAATTTAACAAATATTTCCGACTTGTCGATTTTTTCCTTTAATATTTTTTCGCATTAATAAAGCTAATAATTTTACTACTAGTGCTGATAATTTTATTATTAGTGCTGATAGTTTTCTGAATGCTACGTACCACACAAATCATTTACAGTGAATAAATGACTTAAAATAAAGGTATCGCGTGTCGCTCGTCGTCGCTAAGCCAACTATAAACAACAGATCAGAACACGCTGTTAGATCGGAATCCGTCCAGGGCAGCTAGCCCGTCGGATCAAAGTCCCGAGAAGGGAGTGGTGGGCACATATTGACCTTTCACAAGAAAATCGGCATCCAAATAAATAAACAAATCTCTATATAAATAAGTATATGTACAAGATTCCAAGACTTTTCAGGACTTTTCAGGGTTCGAAGTTTGGCAAGCATACTTGGAGGCTCGTTTTCCTTTCAAAAAAGCTCGTGTTAACCTCCTTCCCTTGTAGGAAAGTGAGCAAAAAAATACCAAAATAACATCCTACTTTTTTTGGAGGATGTTTAGAAAAGATCTGGGTATCGCAACATTGGCGATGAACCCATCCCATCGCAGGACTGGGTACGTCACATCAAACCTCCCATCTCTCGTGGCTGTCCGCTGGATTATCTCTTTAGATCGCTAAACGATCGCACCGTAAGCGTTAAACATATCAGATGCTCGCTTATTGTGAAGCACGAAATGACAAAGGGCAATGAGGAGAATGCAAGTCCTATTCTAAGGACCAGTATGAGGTCTCGGGAATTTCGACAAATCACATCAAGAAAAGCATAAGGAGTCTGTGGGACTATTCCTAGGCCTCTTTTTCCTTTTGGGTGACTCTTTAGAGTGACGATTTATAATGGTTCGAATGAAAAGTCCATCGAGAAACGTGTACTCAATAGTCCCAGAATGCGTTCATTTTATCTCATAGCCACATGAGTCAGTATCGGTTTTCACCCA